AGCCACCTACGTTTCTCCCTTCACGACTCACTTCAGCTAGAAATTTTTTTGTTTGTTTATTCCACACTATTTAATTTTTTTTTTCCAAAATATACCCGATATATAAAATATACTCAACACCTTTCAGTCAACTCAGTGGGCCACCTCCTTCCCATTTTTAAACAAAATCTGGATATGAGCAGAGTAGGAAGAAGATAAAATGTGCAAAGATTGATGTGACCCTGTATGACAGTGAGCCACCACCAAGAATAAGTCCATTGTGACCTATTCACACGCTTAGTAAGAGACCAACTCACCTCTCAAATGCTTGGTTCCGCTATTTGCCTCTTCTTTGGTGCTCATACCTGTTTCTCTACCTGGAAAGACCATTCATCTGCCCAAGTCTCTCCTTGTCAGTCTCACTCAAGGCCTTTAAAAAGTTCATCTCTAATTTTATCCCTTCTTCTTAGCCTTTCCAGACTTCTACCACAAATGACCTTTCTCTCTCTGAAGTTCCTTAAGAACTTCATTAAAGGATGTGAAATAGAAGTATCATCTACCTTTGAAAGGTCCCCTTTGAGACATCTAGACTTCAAGCTTCTATCTGTGGTTATCATCTATCTAAAGTTTCCTTTCTGAAGACCACTCTATTTCTTCTCCCTGCCCTACTTTGGCCATTTTATAACATTTTTATGTGTGTGTGTATGTATTTTTTTCTTTTGTCAGAGCACTGCTACTAGATTATATGTTAGGATGAAGGTGATAAATTGTTGATCAACATAAAGCAGAGACTTTCTTTAGGGTAAGGGCATAATCAGAGGGATTTTTACAATTCAAGGTATTTGTAATTATATTTTTAGTAGGGAAAGAGCCCCCTGATTTTTTTTTTTCAGTTTAGAAAACTTGAGCAAATAATGCTATTTGGCATTTATCTATATCTTCCATGTGGTGGTTGTCAAGGAAAACAAAACTTTGATTTCCATCATTTGAGTGTCAAGGAAACTAAAGGATTATATATACATATACATACATACGTATATATGTATATGTAACATATACCCACTCACTGCCATCGAGTTGACTTCGACTCATAGCGACCCCATAAGGTTTCCAAGGCTGTAAATCTCTATGGAAGCAGACTGCCGCATCTTTCTGCCAAGGAGCTGCCGGTGGTTTCGAACAGCAGACCCTTCAGTTAGCAGTCGAGTGCTTTAACCACTGTGCCACCAGGTCTCCTTATAATATATGGAGGCATACGCACACACACGCACACACACACATATATAAACTTGAACCAAACCTGTTGCCATTGAGTCAATTCCAACTCATGGCAACCCTATAGGACAGAGGTAGGACAGAGTAGAACTGCCCCATAAGGTTTCCAAGGAGCGGCTGGTGGATTTGAACTGCCAGCGTTTTCGGTTAGCAGCTGAACTCTTAACTACAGTACCACCAGGGCTCATATATATGTATGTATAAATATATATACACACACACACATATATATATACACATAATACATACAGGCATATATGTAAGTTCTCAAAGTAGTACAAGATGGACTGGGTTGAAATAGAAGCATGTAAGGTTGCCTAAAAAATATAAAGCCAATTTCTCTCAATTTTGTTAGTAGGTCAAAAAACCACTTTGTGAAGAATGTTTTTTCAGGATAAATTTTAGAGTAGCCTTGAAAAAAATTCATTAAGTTATATTTTCTTGTCATATATCATGCGTGTAATTCCTTCCTGAAATGTCTGTCTTAGTTTTATTACTACAAAATGCTCACACCAAAACAGAGCTGGCAAATACTTTTAAATGCAAGGAGACTAGGTATAAAAACAAAAGAAACTAAATCAAATCCACAGAAATAAACATTCTGTATTTCATCATTTTAATTGATTTAAAAATGTGTAAGCACTTGGATAGATTCTATTTTATATAGCATTTACTGGTTTTCAAAGTATGTAATGCAAAAAGAAAAAAAGAACCCAGCTTCTTTTTTTTCTTGTTCATTGGAGCTATCGCATCTCATCTATCAGACCTCTAAGTAGAATTTTAAAAGTGGGGTACTCTCTCACGCCCAGGGCCTATGTAATTAGCATATGAATGTGTAACGGATTGTTTGAAGTAACAATTAAGGGAACAATACATAAAGGAACTGAAGAGAGCTACCAACACCTGGGAATCTTGGATTGAAAAGCTTTCTTTATGTAAGTAATTAAAACCAGGGACAGATGCTCACTGTGTAGCGGTAAAGCCTTACAAGGAAAGCTAAAATCTGCCGAAATTTTGCCGTCATCCTTTAGACTGAATCATTAAAACAAGAGTTTACGGTTTTATTTATTTCAGCAGGATACTTGTTAAATGTAGGTTTTTGTATATCTGATTTGAAGTGATCAAAATGCATTTCTATGACAAAAATACTTTCAATTTTTAAAATATTTATATTTAAAACAGATAAAAGAATGACATTAAATCTTTTCCCTGTGGGCAGTGCCAAGTTTTGGAGGAAAATTCCAATTTATGTCCAAGTCAAATCAGGCGTTCAGTTAATTCTCTATAATTTATTTGTCCAAAGGATTCTGGGTGGCAATACCCACTGTATTGTTTTGTTTTATTTTGTTTCTTTTGAAGGGCGTACATGCTGTGGGCTTCCTGCTCAGGCAAAGCACCTTAAGAGAGAGCCAATCTTCTCAATACTGTGTTGAATCCTTGATATTGTGGAAGGAGCAGTGGAGTAGGAGGCGGGAGCCTTGAATTGTTGTTGGCATTTTTGTCGTTACTACCTGTGCAAAGCGTTTACATTTCTTTGGTGTAAATTGCCTTATCTCTAAAATAGAAATTATTTTTTCTAGAATATTAAAGTCTGAATCAAATGATTTCTTCAGGTCCTCTCTAACATCCAGCTGATTGTATGCCATGATCATGAAGAACTATTTGTCCCAGAATTTAATCTTAAATGATTACTATTTTATGGAACAGATTTATTTGAAAAATAAATGTGAACATAATATTTACTTTTTTAAGGAGAAAAATAAATATATGCACAAATATTCATAGCAGTATTACTCATAATAGCCAAAAAGTGGAAACAACCCAAATACCTATTAACTGAAGAATGGATAAATAAAATGAAGTACATCCATACAATGCAATACTATATGGCAATAAAACGGAATGAAGTAATAATACATGCTACAACATGAATGAACCTGGAAAGCATTATGCTAAGTGAAAGAAGCCAATCATTGAGGACTAAAGAGTGTATACCGTGTGATTTAATTTATATGAAAAGTCCAAAATCCGCAGATCTATGGAGACAGAAAGATTAGTGGCTGCCTAGGGTGGGGTGGGATGGGGTTGGTGGTGTCTAAAGGGTATGGTGTTTCTTTTTGTGGTGATTAAAATCTTCTAGATTTGATTATGGAGATAGTTGAACAACTATATGATTATAGTAAAAACCATTAAATTATATACTTTAATAGGTGAATTGTATGGTATGTGAATTATATCTCATTAAAACTGTTATATATATGTATATATGTATGTGTGTATGTATATGTATATCAAAATGTGCTACATGGTCAATAGAATATTTACCTAGATTTATCGGTAAAATTTTTAGAGAAAACAACTTATTTCTCCAAGTTAGGATTTGGCTTTGAATAATCTATGAGTTCTGAATATGCATTTCCACTAGCTGGCTTGCCTTGTAGTTTTTATGAGATAGTTTAATAGTTATTTATTATCATGTGTAATAATTGGACAGTATAGGACCTGGTGGCATAGTGGTTAAGAGCTGTGGCTGCTAACCAAAAGGTCGGTAGTTTGAATCCACCAGCCTTTCCTTGGAAACTATGGGGCAGTTGTACTGTGTCCTGTAGGGTCACTATGAGTTGGAAGTGACTCAATGGCAGCAGGTTATATGACATGGAAGAGAAAAAAATAATTTTGAAATGTCCTTTAAATATTTGCTTCCCTGAAATGAAAAACTATCAATAAAGAGAAAAAAAATGTATAGAGAGAATAAGAGTTTCATTTTTTCAACTGTTGTGAAAAATCAATATATTTGATATCATTTTAAATAAATTCTTGCATCCAGATGAAATCTATATTGGTAGAACCCCAATTTATAAATGGGTAATGTTCCAGGAGTTCATTTATAAACTAGCTCATTGTAGCCTTTTCTATAGAAGCAGTTCTGTCAATGCTGATGAGGTTCCAAACCTAGCCTACACAGATTTATTTCACCTACAATGTAGCCAAACTGAGTACTGTTGTTATTACAGTCTGCGATGAAGAGACAATGGCACTGGAAGGAGGAGGATGAATCATAACATCTCCAGTTCTTGGGTGCAGGCATGGCCCCTGGCAAATTTTGAATTATGCAGACTGAGACTTTGGCCTCCATCAGCCTTCTTTTCTACACTCCTTGGCTCATGTTCTAGATCTTGAGCCTCTCTCTGGGTCATGAGGCATCTGCTACCATTGTGGTGCTCTGGCTTCCCACTCTGTTACACTACTGTGGCAGCTCTGTTCCTTAGGGGGTTACAAATTCACCTACGTTGTCTAACATAATCTCTGTCAGCCAACACATCACTTTCCATTTCCTCAACACAACTAACTTCGTTTTGCATTAAAAAGTAAGCAGATTTTGAAAGCATGATAATCTCTTGGGTCTTCTAGAGGCATTTACAAATAAAACTTGGATTTAAGCCCAAAAGTGTCTCTAATCACTAAGATTTCAGGTATTAGACTTGTGTAATGATAAGAAAAATTTGGAAGAAGGATAAACTGGCGTTTCTGACTCTATTCTGTCTAGGGGTGAAATCTTCTAAATTGCTCCTAATTTATCCAGAATATTTGATTTTTCCCTGCCTGAACTTCCAGATGCCTTAAACATACCCCCCCCCCCCCAAATTTACACTAACTACCAGAGTCTGTACCAGAATCTGTAACGGCTTTACCAGAGTCTGTAATCATGGTGGTTGGGGTTGAGGGGACATGTTGTGAAGATGCCGTGGGAAGAAGTAATCAAGTTCCATTTGTGGTATGAATGATTTGGGGTTCTTAGATATATTTTTTAATTTGGACAAATGTTTTCCTGTACAGTAATCAATTGGTTTTTCTTGGTTATAGATTGGGTTTATGGATACTACAGGCAACAGAGAAAACTTGTTGAAGAGATCGGCTGGTCCTATACAGGTAAACGTATAATGAGATTCAGCAGGAAGTTGTACTTGCCTTTGTGTCTATTTTTATATATAAAGAGAAGCTTTATAGCTCAACATATTACATATCATTTTAACTTAGCTACATGGAATTGAGTTAGATTAATGAATAAAAAATATGTTGAATGCAAAATGATTTCTGGTGGATTTTCCATAAGCAGATTTGGTAGTGTAACCATAGTGGTGTCAAACAGAGTTGGATTTGAATCCCAGGTGCATATTGGTTATATGTCTTTGGGAAATAGGGAACCTGAGGCTCAGTTCTCTCATATGTGAAATAGAGAGTTTTTCTGAGCATAAAATGAGATAAATGATATGTAAAGCACTTGGTTCAGAGCCTCCTTGTACTTATAGAGCTCCCAGTGAACATTAGCTGCTATTGTGATGATCACCATATCCCTGTTGCCGTCGAGTTGATTTCGACTCATAGCAACCCTATAGGACAGAGCAGAACTGCCCTATAGGGTTTCCAAGGAGTGGATGGTGGATTCAAAATGCCAACCTTCTGGTTAGCAGCCGAGCTCTTAACCACTGTGCCACCAGGGCTGTGCGATCACATAGTGGTTATTTTTATTCATTTCACAAATATTGAAGGGAGTCTTGCTCTTAGGAAGGGCTTCTATCTCAATTGCTATAGCTGAGTTATTTGGAAGTCACAGACTAGAAAAAAAGATCTTGTCAGATTACCAGACTTGGTTTAGAACATCATAAATATCTGAAGTTGGCCTGATATATTTACAACTAGAAATCAGGATCAGAAACCACAGGGGAGAGGAGAAGCTCTAAATGAACTATGGCATGCCTTGTGACCATCTGGGATAGAGTTGGGTACTCTTTAGAAATAAGACTAGGTTGATAAGATAGAATCAGATTTAAAGTATTTTGCTGTGAGCCTGCCCAATATGAACTTTATTTCATAGATGATAGCAGCAACATGATGAATTTTGTAGACAGGCATGCATTTTCTTTCTTTTTTTAAACCATTAGTATTATTTTTACTTTAAAAACATTTAATATTCATCATAGAAAATATCGAACATACATTTAAACACAAAGAAGAATATAAAAACCACTCTTTACTCCCACCAGGGGTGTCCACTAAAAAAACTATATTCCTTCCAGGCCTGTTTTTAGTATCTTATGTTTGTGTATTTTTATACATAGAGTTATTCATCTAATTTATCTCTTGAAGTTGTTTCTCAGCATTTCCTCATTTCACTGATGAGTTCCCCCGATCGTGATACTTAATGATTACCTAATATTTCGATTGAATAAATGGTTCATAGTTTAACCAGTCCCTTATTTTTTATGTAAGCTACTATAAACAGTGCCAGATAGAAAAATCGATAGATACAAATCTTTATTTGTATTTTGATCATTACATTGCTAGAGAATCCTTGATATGCCATTGTTGAGTAGAAGGCAATAAATGCTTTTGAGGTCCTTGATACCACCGCATAATTGCTTTCTGGAGCAGTTACCCTAACCTATAGTAGTATATGGAATTGGCTACCCCACTGAATATTAGCCAGAGTTGATCATTATCATTTGTTTAAAAATCTTTGCTAATATAGTAGGTTAAAAAAATGACATTTGTTGTTTTAAATTGCTTTTGTTTCATTACCAGTGAAGTCAAGATTTTGATTTTGATTAGCTGTTTGTATTACCTCTTCTGTGAAATTAGTTAAAGCATGGAAAAAGATCAAAATATCCATCAAAGCAGAAAAGGTGAACAAATTAAAGCATATATTGTGGATTACTCTGCAGATATGTATGAGATAGAGCTGTATGCTATTATATAGAAAGACCTGTGCTTAATTTACTCATTTATAATTATGACCCATGTATCTACAAAATACTGATTTTAAAAAAATTTTTAAAATCCTGATGAATTCATAAAAACCAAATTGATCTAGCATTCTGTATCTTATTTGGTTATTTTAAATGTAATTCTCTCCCTTTTTTTGTTTTTGTTGTTGCTGTTGTTTTGCTATTACAATGTAATGAACATCCTCAGATATGTAACTCTATATACTTGTGCAATTTCTTTTTCAGAAAAAATGACTTTAATAAAAATGGTTGTTGGGTCAAAGGGCCTGAATATTTGTAATATTAATAGATATGGTCAAATGAATTTTGTTAATTTAGCCATGTCCTCACATTTTCACTAACGCTAAGGAGTCCTGATGGCGGCTAACCGACAGGTCGGCAGGTCAGACTCACAGCTGCTCCCCAGGAGAAATATGTGGCAGCCTGCTTCCATAAAGATTTCAGCCTTGGACACCCTGTGGGGCAGATCTACTTTTGTGCTATAGGGTTACTGTGAGTCAGAATCAACTTGATGGCAACAGGTTCGGTTTTGGTTTTGGACTGACAAAAAGTAGAATCTCGTTTTAATTTGCATTTTCCTGATTACTAATAAGGTTAAGTATCTTTCCATATGTTTTTGGCCATCTTTATTTCTTCTGTGAATTTTCCTGAATTATTCCTTGAAGATTTATTTATATATTAAAGGAATGTGTGAGAAATAAATTATTTTTAATTTACTGCTTTCTGTTTTGCCCAAAAATAGGTTATGTTTTTGTTTGATTGAATGTTTGTTAATATTATTTTAACCTAAGTTATTTTAATGAAGTCAGATTAAGAGAGACTATTTTTAGTGGGCCACATTTTTCCTCCTTTGTTTAAATACCTTACTTATAAGTCTTACTTTAAATAACTTTTAAAGGTACTCAAAAATACCTTTAGCTTTTACTTAAAATACTTTTATATCTTTGTATTGCGTGAATCACAGTGAAAAACTGGTTTAGGATTTAGAATCAAATTCAGAGAAACTAAGAAGGTAAGTACTCAGCTGCTAACTGGAAGGTTGGTGGTTCAAACCCACCAGCCGCTCGCTCCATGGGAGAAAAGATCTGGTGATCTACTCTCGTAAAGATTTCAGCCTAGGAAACCCAATGGGGCAGTTCTACTCTTTCCTATAGGGTCACTGGGAGTCTGAATTGACTCAACGGCATACAACAACAGCAAGACCCAAATTTATTCAAATAGAAAAAAAAATGTCCACTTTTAATAGAAACACAAGCGAAATTGTTTAGGATGAACAAATAGATCATTTATTTTTATACTAGTTCTTATTTTTATACTAGTCCTTCATATCTATCATTTTTATTTAACTAACCATTACCTCAGGTAGTATGTATCTACATAGCTTTCCCTGCAAAATCCTAGCCTGGACACCATTGCTTGGAATGATTTTACTGCCAAATGATTCCTCTTGAAAAATTTGTCTTTATATCAATGCACATGTATGACTTTCTGTCTAAAGCCAACTTTCTCTGTAAAAATAAATGACAACATTTATCTTTAAAAAACATAACATGATACCGAAACAATCTAGGAGAAACATTTGACTTTTACTTATTATAGTAAAAGTAATTTTAGGGGCATTCCCTACATAAGTCATTAACAACAACAATATACTCACACCATCCAATCAGAAATTGTATTTAAATATTCACAATCCCCAAATATTTTAGAAGTAGAAAAGCATGTTAGCAATTACTTTCCAAAAAAGGTGCCACTTTCCCCTTGGATTTCTCCTTTTATTATGTTTTTTCAGCTATGTATTTTGAAAGTCATTTGCATTTTTTCTGTGTAAAATCTAGTCAACCTATTTCAGTTTGACACATGGCCGTCTGTGTTTACTTTCTTCCAGCAGTTCACTGCAGTAGGGTAAGCATATGCATTTCAAATTACCTTGCCAGTGTGCCAGATCAAACATACTTTGTGGCTGAGCTTTGAGAAGAAAGATTTGATTGCCCTGCCAATCTCAAATCCTTTCAAATAATATTTATTCTTTCACTCTCCATTGTTGATCTATGAGACTGGCTCTCAGGTGAATTTCTTAAAAGGGCTATTGCCACATTTCTTGAGCCCTGGATCTTAATCCCAGTTAACTGATTTTGCCCAGAAATCGGCTGGTGGATTTTACACTAAGAAACCTTGAACAAGGTGAGACTGGCTCAGCTCACTGCACTCCTGACATTTGCAATGCTGTGGTTCCTAGGAGGGAGCACTAGGGCATGTCCTCCCATTAAAACCAGTCTTTGCGATTCCAAGGAGTCCCTGGTTGGTACAAACAGTCAACATGCTCAGCTGGTAACCAGAAGGTTGACATTTCGAGTCCTTCCGGAGGCACCTTGGAAAAATCAGCCACTGAAAACCCTTTGGAGCACAGTTCTACTCGGACACACATGGGGTCGCCATGAGTCAGAGTTGACTCGAAGGCAGCTGGTTGTTTTTTGCAATTCTCAGTACTCAGGCACTACACAGATGCATACTTTCAGAGGGGGAAAAAGGTGTGAGAGGAAAAGAGATGGAAGGGGAAAAATCACTTTTTTCCATCTATCCCCTTCTAGATGGGACGTTTCAAAAGGTTATATTCATTTTGAATCTTTTATCTTGAGAGTCTTTGTCTTTTCAAAACTATGTCTTTAAGATTTTATAAGTGAAAGCCAGAACCCATTTTGTCATTCGTTTTCTCCAAAATAGAAGTTCTAGTGTTTTGTGAAAATTACAGGTGATTTTTGCCCTATCTCACCCCACCCAATGATTATGAGGAATGTGTTAGGAGAGATTATGAGTGGTTAGAGTGCGTCTCCACCCATGCACGAGGACATCATGAGAGACAGGTCCCAGGTTCTCCTGGAAAACATCTGATGATGTCACCATTTGAGTAAAATTTAATACAGAATATCTTTTTAAAAGACTTATTTAGATATTGCCAATAGTGGTTTGGGAATCATTGAAATGTGTGCACTAATAAAGATAATTGCTATATTTATATACAAATGCTGATCCCAGGATAAACTTTTCTCCAAGGAGTTTTTGCCTGGGGGGTTAAAGTTCTCATTTTGGTCTCTTACATATTTAATTACTAAGACTATCACAAGCCATCTTTTAAACATTCAC